TGTTACAAGATGATTGGTTGTGATGGAGACTATCTGGCAGTGGTTTCAGGCAGTTTGAGGCCATTTAAGTTAATTCTAGGCTTTAAAAAACCACCACAAAATATAAAATTATTTGTTGGGATCGACAGTTTTTGGGGATCTCCAGGGTGAGGTACAAAATGAGTTCGAGGGAATGCCATGTGTGTTGTGGGATGCACTTTCCTCATTCCCAATGCATCTGGATACTGTGGAAGAGAATGTGATTGTAATAAATCAAAGGGGAAAAAACTAAAATTGAATTGTAATGTTTAAACGCGCTTTCCTGTAACACAGTTTCAGATCAGTTAACCAGACCTATATTACATAAAATCTATGAGAATTGTTCTAGTGTGCCATGAGGTAGTATTTCCGTCTACGAACCCACACGACCTCTTCGATCTTCCGGAGAGGCTTTTCTCTCGCTCCCGCCTGCATTCCAAGTGCGACTTGTGGGGACGAGAGAGAGGGCCTTCTCTGTGGTGGCCCCCCGACTCTGGAATTCACTCCCCAGAGATATTAGGCAAGCCCCCACGTTGGCAATCTTCAGGAGGAACCTGAAAACCTGGTTATTCCAATGTGCCTTCAATGATTGAATGTAAGATACTCCCTGACCAAATTTCGCACAAATGACCTCAGAAGCACTTTATTTTATGGCTCATGCAATTAATTCCTTCCTCAACCTGGATCTCCCTCCCCAATAATTTCCATTGCCCAATCTCTCGGTGTTTTAAAATTTTTATCCTTAAATTTGGCCCTGCCCCGTGTAATCCTGTGTGTCTAATGTCCGATTTTATACTGTTGTGTCGCTTATTATATTGGTTTTGCATTTTATGTTTTTTTATTTTCTAGTTCTGTTATGCTTTGGTATTATATTGTGTCATGCTTTTGTGTAATATTGTGTTGACTGTACTGATGGGCGTGGCCTCATGTAAGCTGCCCCAAGTCCCCCTGGGGGAGATGGAGCGGGGTATAATTAAATTATTATTATTATTATTATTATTATTATTATTATTATTATTATTATTATTATTTAGTCCAGAGGTATCATGGCATATCCTTAAGGGAAAGATAGATTTGTTTTGTGAAAAACAGGAAATTTGTGCAGGAGATAAAAAGAACTTGAGTATTTTTGCACTTTGCTGCTTGATTTCATTCTTTGTACCTGATGATGATGATGATGATGATAATAATGATAATAATGTTGTTACTTGCATCTTATTAAGGCTTGAAGGAGTATACAACAAAGATAAAATATATAGATAAAAACATAAGATCATTAAAACACATGTATTAAAAGGCATAGACAAAAATTGAAACACATTAAAATTATTGTTACCAATACAATGTACATTTAAATTCAGATGTTAAAATTGGCATATTGAGATAACAACCATTTTTTTACTAGTGTGCTTGACATGATATATTATACTTCGCTTTCCTACTATTCCCTCTTGCAAATAGTGTTACATCACTTAAATAGTCTATTGAGTTGATATGTGAGAGATTGAGCCTTGGAGGAGAGAACTATATACATTGAGATCCATCTTGTCTTTGTGTTGTCGTCTTCCTTTTTCTTCTATAAAAATAAGTTATTTTAAAAACACAAATTAACGAAATGCAAGCAGACTGTAAGAAATAGATGACATTGATGTTGTTCTTTAGCTGACGAAAGTGACTTGCACCAAGTCTTTCTCATACATTGAATTATCTGTCTTGGACCTTATCTCTGTCGGGGCCTTTCACAATTTCTGTTGAAACTAAAAACTGACCATTCCCTAGATGTAGGGAGAGAGCTTGACTTTTATAGTATTGTGTTATGAGGCTATCAATGAATGTCTTAATTCAGATAATTTGAAAAGATAAATATTATAAGTAATAAAATGGAATAGATTGTTTTGATATTTGCCTTTAATTTGATATTTTAAGTGTTTGTATATGTTTGACATCTTTTGTATATAGAGGGAATTGTCATGTCTTCATATGGTTTTGTTTATATTGCAGATATGTGGAGAGCGAAGTAGATGGTCTTCTCATTATTATTATTTTTTCCATTGTGCCACTGCAGTAAAATGAGTCATCGTTCTTCACGGGCTTTAGACTCCCTCGGCCAAAATACAGCACAGTTTGGCTGCTGTTTCTTTTCTTTTAAAAATAAGTGAGGAAACAAAACAGAGCTACCATAAGACAGGTTTAAGAATGAAAAATAGTCTAGTAGTAAAACTAAACGGTAACATATTTCAAAATGTTACCTCCAGTAATAGATCAAACAAGGGTAAGATTTAAAACATAATTCAAATAAAAAGGCACTGTACAGAATATGTAAATGTAATAACTGACACAGCTTGATAAAGTACTTGTGAAACAGGTAAAAGTTGGTGATAATGATGAGTCACACTGTGTTGGAACAGCATGGTTTAATATCCAAGTGTTCATTTTAAATGCATAGTTATTGTATTCCAGGGTAGTGAAGAAATACCATTTTTTATTTTAGTTTTTAAAGACAATCTTACATTGGGTTGGTTGATCTGTTCCATGAAAGAAATGATTCTTTCTATTCTAGTACACTGGGTGGAAGGGCACACTGACCATTTAATGCAGTTTCAAACGAGTATTGAAATAAGTGGTTTTGCTGTGCAGATGATTATATGGGAAATCTTAGAATCACTTTGAATTGTATGAAATGATCAGTATAGATGGGGCCAAGGAGTCATTCTTTACCGGTGCTTTTTCAGTTTCCTGCGCTACCCCATATATTATTATTATGTTTGTTTATAACCCATTTTTATTCTCCACAAAAGAGACCCGAAGCGGTTTATGCCCTCCAAAACAGCTTTGCAAGGGGCAGAACAGGATAAGGGAGTGTCTGCCTGTTAGCTTGTTTGCTAAACAAGACCAGAACTCCTTAATGGGTTAATCTGGATCCAATTCATTGCATGTAACTTGTGCTGGGATAGGCGAGTTTCATGAACAGTAAGACAAGTGTTTATAAACTGTCCTACATCAAAGGCTCTCAGAGTGGCTTACAAACAGTCTTTCAAGAGTTGAGAGCCCTGGCAAGAACAGTAACCAAAGATGTGATTTGGATCATCTATGGTGGAGAGTGACAGTTACTTCAAAATGTTGTGAATAGGCCTGTGCTTCCTAACGTAGTTCTGTCCGTCTTCAACAAAAATGCCACCCATGATTGATAAGAACACCTGAACATGCCACTGGTGGAAATTTTTTAACTGTGATTGTACTTTATTGCAGTAGGAATATTTGTAAAATCATTTGCCTGTTCACTTGACAGTAGAACATACGTGTTATTTTTTAAAAAATTACATTAAGGACATATTTACATAATGTTAACCAACTTCAACTGAAGGATCAAGAATGCAGAAAATAATATGGATCACAATTAAATATTTTATTATTTTCTCAGTGTTTCTCCTAAGGCCTTCCTCTTGGTCTCATCGTCAGGGGTGGCATAATCTTTTCCTCTTCTAGTAACAGTGCATTGCAATCAAAAGCAGTGCACTTGTCTTCATAACTGCTTCTGATGAACTGCTGAGCCTTTCCCTTTCTTATTTTTTAGTATAGATATCTGATTGCTGCTCATTACCGTTTTGCAGAAGTCATAGGTTTGGATTCAGAGTAGTCATGCTTGCAGTAGAGCCACTGAAATCAGTGGAATAAATAGGTTTGGCTGACCATTCCTTTTGATTTCAGTCCATTTACTCTAAGCATGGCTCGGTCTTGAGTCATACTTACATAAATTGCCATATATATGAAGGTCAGCAATTGATAATGTTGAACTTACATTATTTATTTACTATGCTTCTATACCGCCATTCTCAGCCCGAGGGCAACTTATGGCGGTTTACAAAATGGCACAATTCAATGCCCGCAACAGTACAAAAATAATTTAAACAGTAAAAACATTATACTATTAAAAATTATGAAAACAGTATGAAGAGTAACAATTTCAGAATGTAAGAGGAGTTACAAAGACAAATGCAATTTCAGCTGTAGCAGAAAAGGATAAGAGCAGAAAGATCTATATAAATACATGAACGAAACATAATTATACATAGAGGTCCAATAAAATGTTCTAGCTCCCTATTGTTTAGCAGTGGATTTAACAAAATAACTTCTTTTCCACTCATCTCTAAATTACAGTCGGCCCTCCATATTTGCAGATTCATGGATTTGATTCATATTTTCTCTAGGAGTATCTGTATCCTCCAGTGTGATTCTTTCATAAACTTTCAATTCCTGGTGGGAGGGGGGTTTCTTTCAGGTAAAAACGTTGTTGCTTTTTCTCCACTTTCAATGGGGGGGGGGGATACTGTGTCCCTAATCCCCACAGAAATAGAGGGCCCATTGCACTTTATTAAAATGCAAAAGCCTTGCAATACCAGAGATGGATTTTTATATAGAGAGAATATGAGCTGTTCAGTTGCTGTAGTCAGAACAAATTCCTGGGCCCTGAAATATTTGATTCTGAGTTCATGATGTTTTTCGCGACCTCTTTCCCATAGAGTTCATGAAAGGGTTGACTAGCATACCCATTAACTCACAAATTCTACTCAAAGTAACTTCATAGATGGAAAACTTTAAAACTTAATGTAGGAATTCACACTCTTTATTTATTTACAGCATTTATATACCACTTTTCTCACCCCTAGGGGGAGTCAACACTCTACTAGCAAAGGTGTGATATACACACACCTACCCTTTCTTTGCCAGCTTTTTAGGACCTTTTCTCCTCACTGAGCTTTTAAGACTTTTAGCAGATGCCAAAGACAAGCAACTGTTCAACAGATACAGCTTTCTTAAGGAAGGAAATTCAGCAAATTTGGGGGGGGGGGGGTATTAAATTGAAACATTTTGATTGAATCATGCARAATTGCCTCTCTGTGCTCATACTGAAATAATTTAATTTCAAGCACTTTTAATTTTTCAAAGATTTTCTTTTTCTGTTCTTTTTTCCCACTTATTAGCAGAGAGTGAAGAAGAGGATGACATTGAAATGGAAGTCGAAGATCAAGATGGCAAGGAGATTGAAAAGCCAAACACCATTAATTTTGATACTAGTCTGCCAACTTCACACATGGTACATGTACTGTACTATTCTTTCCAAGAGATTGTTGTTTCTTTTTGTATGAAATTTGTTCCATGTGGCACATTTGGATGATCTGGGACAAACACAGAAGGTCAGTTTTGATGGCACAGCAAACCACAAATTTGAAGAAATATGAGTTATCTGTTATAAGCAGTATGCTTATTTTAACATTAAGTTCCTCTGGCTTCCCTTGCATCATCATGTGTGCAAAGTGTGAGTGAGACACTCCCTTCTGTTTGGTGATAGCTTTGTAGGAGATCTCTAGAACAGCTACTTCTCAAGCCCCAAATCATGCAGGCAGCATGAGAATTCAATTGACAGCCTTTATATAAAGACATCTAGAAACATAATTGTCTCAAAGCACACTGGACATTAAAATAACATAAACAAAATACTTGCACACTGGAGAGCAAAGCATTATCCATTAAATATTCTGAGTATATTCAAATAATTGCTGACAGTTGGAATTAAAACCAAGCGGTTGGATCAAAAAGGGAATGGAAACATTGCCATTTTATCTATTTGAAGTGTTTTACTTTTTGTATATGACATGGTTTTTTTCATCTCATTCTGGGGAATCTAGTAATATTGTTCAGCATTTTGCAGAATTGTGAGAGCTGTTACATAACATGCTCATTATTGGATGGTGTTTTCTTTTTGACTAGCAGTCTTGCAAACATGGAAACTGCTAGTGTCTATTTTTGGTTCTTGGGATCTAGCCCATGTTTTCCAGATCTATTGTCTTAATTTTTGTCTTTATAAATTGTGAGCTAGTTTAATACTTTTGCCACTGAAATGTCACTTTTTTAAATTTTGGAAAGTACTTAGGATCAGATATGGAAGAATTTCATGGAAGAACTGTCCATGACGATGATAGTTGTCAAACAATTCCAGTCTTACCCCACGTGATGGTTATGTTGATTCCTGGACAAACACTGCCTCTTCAGCTCTTCAGTCCCCAAGAGGTTAGCATGGTGCGGAACTTAATACAGAAAGACAGAACTTTTGCTGTTCTTGCATACAGGTAAGTACTTTAAGTGAATTTCTAGTTCCGTGGGATTTTTTAGTTACAGTAAAATTCAGGAGATTGTAGCATTGCATTGATTCATGGCACAAAACTAATTGGTTGCAATGCCATGATAGCAACCGTGTAGATTCTGTGTTCCGCCAGAGCAGGGGTTATCTTATTTACTTAAATAGCAAGCAGTGATTTAAACAGTGAGGCCAGATGGATCAAACATTGAAACAATGAAATAAATAAGAAAACTTCTACTTTACACAGCCATTGTCTTGATCACAGAAGCATCTGAACTCTTGGGTACTTTTCTCCATCGGAGATACATTTTCAGATTATATTCAACACAGTTTATCATTACATTTCAAGTAAACAGAACTTCATGGCACATAACATTCTATGTATGCTCTGTGTTTAAATCATACATTTTGAAATATTGCTTGTATTTATACCATACAGGCCTAGAATGTCTTTGTCATTGCAACTTACACTTTTTTCGAATTGTAATATTGAGTGTAGTTTTCTCTCTGTGTCCATGGATTCTACCTTCCTGGATTCAGTCACCCACAGCTTGAAATAATTATTTTTAAAATTCCAAAGAACAAACTTTGATTTGTTATTTGTTTTGAATGTTGCTGTTGTGCATAGTGGGACTTGAGGATCTGCGGATTTGGGTTGGATTTGGTTTGATTTCTGTGTATGTGTGGTGGGAGGGAGGCATCCTGGAACCAATACCAAGAGTCCACTAAATTACAGAACTAATTTTTTAATGTGGCATAGAGAAAAGAAAGGCAAAGGAGAGTTGATGGGCTATTAATGTCAGTATATAATTTGAAAATGAGATGTGAAGCAACACTTTTTAAAGGATTTGGCTTTTTCCTGTAGCAATATACTTGAAAGGGAAGCACATTTTGGAACAACAGCTGAAATTTATGCCTACAGAGAAGAACAGGAATATGGAATTGAAACAGTCAAAGTAAAAGCAGTGGGAAGACAAAGGTTTAAAGTACTTGAAATACGAACTCAAGCAGATGGGTAAGTACATGAGAAATATATGCTGTTGTTGAACACAACCTGTTAACAACCAGTAGATTTTTATTCTGCTCTCAGTATGAAACTATCAAATGTAACTTGTTTTAATTGCCTTTCGTAAGGTGGAGTTTCAGAAATACAGGGTCACTGAACTTGTCATGTGCAGTTATTTTGTTTGCTACTTCAGCTAACACAAATACTAATTAATAAAGGTGTTCAGTAATAATAAAATGCTATTTTTTCATATCATGTTTCTCTGCAGCTGATTAGCTCAGGCTCTGCTTGGTATTTGGTAGATTGCCAAAGATTTCTTACTCTCAATTGTTTAATACAGTTTTGAGCACATTTCAGGCTTCCAAGAAACGTTACTAGAGCTTCAAGGTCGACCAAAGTCAGGGAAGTGCAAAATAGTTTCTGAGAGCAGGCAAAGCCTTTGAATTAAGAACATGGTGCCTATGTTCATGTGACTTGGTCCAGAGTGTGTAGAGATAACTAAATGAATGCAAATCTCTATAAGTATATATTACATCTGAGGCAAAGGAATTCATTAATTTTCTTCTACAGTGGTTTTATGAACTAAATTGCTACTTTACTAGAACTAATGATTCGTTTTGCATGAGGGATTTTATTTGGGGAAAGTTAAAATTGATTTATTCGATATTCCTTTCCAGGCACCAGAGACCTCGAAAGAGATGAACAATAATAAAACATTTATATTAAATATATAATACTGAGTTATGTACTTGGAACAATGTTTAGCTAATGTAGAATTAAGATTAAAGACTGTCTTCACATTTAATATAACAAGATTCTGGAGTGGGGTGGGGGGAGTTTATGCAATTCTGATATTAATGATTGCGACCCTTAACTCAGCTCACTCCTAGAGTAAAGATATAGAGGCTTCTTTGTTTCTCATTATAAATAATTATAAGACAGATGTTTTTATTTGATTGTTTTTGGAATCGTTATATGTAATAGTTGGAAAAGGTCATATCTCTTCAATGAATAGCCATCTCCGCTCTCATTGTGGTTGTAGTGTGCCACAGCCATTCTCAGAACTAAATAAGAGGCTATATGCTACAAGTGTCTACTCAGTTGAAGGAATAGTTTTAGTCGCTAATCCAGCACAAAGTTAAGGATGCTTCACATGAGTGTGTGGTTGTAGACTAATTTGATGAAATCTCTTATGTCAGGTTGTTGAGGAAGTGCCTTGTAAACCAGCATTGAGGCGTTCTTGAAAAGTACCTAGGGGCACGTAAGGAAAAATATCTAGGAGTATGTGAACCTCTAAGAAAAAACTTCTTATCCTGTATACAAATGTATAAATCTCAAAATTTTAGTTAAAAAAAACCAAAAAAAAAAAAAACCTGCATCAATTTATCCACAAGTCAATGTGAGTACAGTACTGTGCTTTAGTGCTGATTAAAAAAGGACCCATCCTTTTCTCTAAGTAGAATAGCAAAAAGCAAGAACTTGGGGGACCTGAAAGAGGCACCAATCCCCTCAACTCTCCCTGTTGTGGTACCACTTTTTTCCTTCCGATTGCTTGAGTGGGAAAATGGAATAGCATTCTTGCCTTCCCCTCTCTGCAAAATGATCCTGGACGTATCCATGGGTCATATCAAAATCTATAATTTTGGCCCCAAAATCTACCGTTCTACATAGTTATACAAGTCAGTGTTGTATAGCTGTCTCAGACATTATGTTTTCTCTGACTTCCACAAGCTAAACACTTGGCCTGAAGGAGGCAACTGAATATCAAAACTAGGCTTTGATGAGGTGGATGGAAGAAACTGCTGTGAGTGAAGAACATATAATTTTATTCAAAAGTGCAGAGTTAAGTGGTTTTTTATGACAAGGATTATTTCTTTTAAAGCCACCATTCCTATCTCTGGCTAACAGCTTTAAGAATTAGTATTTTAGGAACTCTGTAGAGTATGTTTTTGTTTGTTTGAGACTGCCCTATAAAAGCAAAGTATAAAAACACCTTGAAAAGTTTAGAGACTTAATTGTGGCATAAAATGCACGATTACAGTCTAGTTGAGGATTTTAAAAAAGTTGTTTTGCAGTCTGGAATAGAAAATAAAAAATAAAATTGGCTGTCATGTTGATAAGTAAATCTTCAGATTCAGTAATTGAACATTCAATTGAGGAATTGAATGTTCAATTGTAAATGTGGATATCTTTTTTAAAAAAAGATTTGGCTTTATTTTAGAACATTTTCTTAGACTTGATCTAATTGCATTAAAAGACAGTATTTTGAAGCTTTCTTCATTTTAACTTTTAGTATTTGTGTTTATTTTTAATAACTTCTCAGTAAGTTGGTATTTACCAAACCACAGTACTTGAAGTTAAAGCACATTCCCATGCATCAGTGTGTTTGAGTAGGAATTTTGTAGGTCCTTAAATGGCCCTGAATGTTTAAGATGTGCTTAAGTTCCCAGGAAATATTAAATTGATATGAATGGGACTATCTCAGGGGACAAGTGTCCTAAAGTCGGCATTAGTTTTTAGTCCCTCTTCGCAGATCTCGGAAACAGAGAAAGCTCTTACTGGGATAACTGCTGTAAGTAAGAAATTCCTGTGCTATTTTCAGGAGATGTTTGAAACTGAGAAATAACCCATCTACTGAGGCCAAATGAGGCATGGTGGGGGGAGAATGGACTCTGGAGCATCCATATTACACACGGCCCATTCACCCTAATGCCCTGCATTAAATGTCCAGCATTTTAAAAAGTTAGGGATGCTGTGGAGCACTGGGGCGATTTGAGGAGGGAGGAATGAAAGGAGGAGGCAATTCCTCCTCTTTCTCTCATTGCTCTGGAACTCCAGTCAGTGTAATCAATGAGCACCAGCAGTTTCATGCCCAGTGGTAGCCATTATGCCGAGAACATGAGGGGTATGGTAAGGGAATGGGAACACACCCATTGACTGTGTATCAAGTGTTGTATTGATGTCTTACTATTTGTATTTCGTTTCTTTCTCCCCTTTTTTACTTTTGGTGGTTTGTCTGTCCTTATATTGTTTTTAATTCAATGTATCTGGAAACTGGGGTGGCAATAGAGGGAGATATGGTGATGGCAGAGTAACATACCCTTATAGAGAAAGGAGAGAAAGGTGTTTAGTACCTTTCTCACCTTCCAGTTATCCTGCAAGCCTGAGGAACTTGGATAGTGAGCCAACCCACCCACAAAACCCCACCTTGCTCTTAGTAATGCCAGGTCAGTTAAATATAAGACCATCTTAACCTGACCAAAGTATCTATTAGGATGCTGAATCACGTTGAGTGTGCATACCTGAGTCTGAAAACCAGGGGTAGACTGGGGATTCTATTAGTGTACCATCCATCCCTCTGCCTAACAGATTCTCTGATCAAGCTCACGGAACTGGTTTCGGAGGTGTTGCCATCAAGGGTCCTAATCTGGGGGTGGAGGTGTGTCAGCTAGTTCTGGATGGGGTCACACTCTCCTTCTCCCATACAGTCCACCCCACACACTTAGGTTCTCTGGGGGGTAGTTACTTCAACTAGTCAAAACCCAACTGACAATCACTACCCAGAGGACCTTTGCATTGGCTGCTACATGATTATGGAACGACCTGTTGGTCGAGTTACGTCAACTGGATAAGCTATTGGAATTTAAGATACAAGTGAAGACCTATTTCTTCTGGCAGGCCTACCCAGATAGTTTTGATGGTGGATTTTAAACTCCACTGTATGCCTGGTTTTTGTTTTGTGTATTTTGATATATATTTTATGGAGGTATGTTTTAATATGTGTATTTCATGAAGTGTTTTAAAATGATTGTGTGTTTCCTTATGTTTTAGTAATTCTATAACCTGCCTCGAGCTATGAGGAGAGGCTGGCAAAAAATAAAATCATCATCATCATCATATCATACATGAATTCTGTGTTTGACTTAGACTTCATCCCCATTAAGTACATAATGCAAAGATAGTTATTTGAAAATATAAAATACATCTGGTCCCAAGCATTTTAGAAAAGGGATTCTCAACCTGTACCTTATTCAGATGTCTAGTTATATATCAGACAAAGTCATATTCTAAGTGGGGAGCCTTGGAGTACCCTGATTTTTTTTCCTTCTCAGTCAACATGGCTGAAGAGCTTGTTTTACACACATGGAGCCAATTTGGATTCACAGTATCAACACGGCTGTCTTATTGATTTATTAGTTAGTCACAGTCATACTTTTAATTGTATGCTTGGATCTCTTGGGTGTAGAAAAAACTGTGCAAATAGATCAGCCTGCATAACCTGCAGCCCTCCAGATGTTTAGGCCTCCAAGTCCCAGAATTCCTGGACATTGGACAAGCTGGCGAGGGCTTCTGGGAGCTGGAGGCCATACAGCTGGTGGGATCCAGGTTTTGCAGGTCTGAAATAGATCCTAATGCTAAGGTGCACTTTGAAGAGATACACACATCGTATTCTTTAGCGCAGAGCTGATTTTCCTGCAGGCCTCCTACTATTGTCAGACTACAACTCTCTTGGCTATGCTGGCATGTGCAGTCTTAACAATAACTTGCAGGCCTGCATAATTTCCACCTTGCTTGCTTTCATGGAGGCCTTTTCAATACAGAACTACATTACAACCCTTGTATCCACGGAACCGCTATATGCAGTTTAACTTAACTGCATTTTTTTAAAAAAAGCAATGTTCCCTCTAGGTCTTAGTGCTAAATTCGTTTCTATGCTTGGCCCAAAACTCCTTCATTTCAGTGTGGTTTGCTGTTACTTGCAACCAAAATCTGGAAAAATATTTCCTGCTAGGTGTGGGGATCATACTATACCCTAAGGTATTTCTCCATAACTTTTGAATATTTGCTACAGAAGGCCTTGGAGATTATTGTGTGTGTGTGTGTGTGTGTGTTTGGCTTTTTTGAAGAAATAGCCTAAAACTATGTTTTTGTTTGGTTTTTTTAAAACAACAACATTATAATTGCCTGAAAAGGAAACTGGTGCATGGTGTGTTGCCTTTTTGTAGAATGAGATGTAGAATAGAATGAGATGTAGAATAAAATCTTGAAATTAGATATCTGAACACAAGATGGCAGCACAAATTAATAGTAGCAGAAGCTGCATATACAATCTTATGAAACAATAGAAAAATCACATTGTTCTGTGGTTGTCCATGATATTTTTAATCAGACCATAGTGAGGATTCCCAGGAAAAATTATTCATTGAGGGGGGGGGGGGGGGGGATCTATGGTTTGGTTTGATGTTTTTCAAAATATAAAGAGTTTTTATTTTAGTTCTGGAATTGGAACTATTGTTATTGTTTAGGGAATTGTTACCTTTGTTTTTTTGAAAAGAGATGAAGTTTATGAAATCTGCAAAGCTAAGAAGCATAAAAGAAATCTAGTATCCACCATCAATAGTAACTGCTTTATATTTCAGAATTAGCTTTTCTGGATCATTTAGTCCAGTTCTTCAGAGGCAATGCCGAGTGATTTTAAAGCATCAGGTTAATTAGACTTAAAAGGTGTGGTTAGAATTTGTCTTTTGATGATAATGTTTCCTTTCATTATGCCGCAGCAGGTTAACATGGTTACATGTTTGAAAATTTTTGAAGCGGTTAATGTGTCTCTTGCTTTCAATTCTGATTAATCATTTTTGTACTATGCCTTTCTGTTTAAGCATCCAACTTTAAATTACACACTTTTAATACCTTGCAGAAACAATTGGAAATTGTTCCTCTAAGAGCAGTGTATAAATATTGGGTGGGAAAGCAAAATGCTAAATTAATTAAAAGCAAATTAAACAAAAAAAATAGTTGAATTTTTTTATAATTGTCAGAATGATTAAAGCCATCACAGTAAACATCAGAAGAACTTAAAATATGTCCTTGCATGTTTAATAAAAGCAGTTAGTATCTGTTTTTGTTTTATGCCACTTTCAATTGTATACTAGGACTAATAACATAACTTTACCTGTGTTGTCTAAGGCTTTCATGGCTGTGAGTTTTCCAGGCTGTAGGGCCATGTTCCAGAAGCATTCTCTCCTGACCTCTCAACCTCTGAGGATGTCTGCCATAGATGTGGACAAAACACCAGGAGATGATGCTTCTGGAATATGGCCAGACAGCCTGGAAAACTCACAGCAACACAATAACTTTAACTGGTTTACCTATACCACTTTTCGGCTACATTTGCTGTTTTGCAGCTGAATATTGCCTGTGGAATATTTACTACCAAAAGTAACAGGATAAAGCAAATTTTGAAGTTAATTTCTATAATTGTGAAAGTTTAGCTTAAGGCTTGCAAACCAATTGTTGACTTTAATTTCTTCCCCCATTTTAGAAGAGCAAACTCACATGCAATTTATGGCCAACTAAAGCATGACCAAAGAATTTCTTGGGGGTGGGGGGTGGACAACACAACAGGGGTGCAATTTGTAAGATGAAATATAGAGATTTTGAAAATCTGCTGAAATAGCTTTAAACACTGTATGTAGTGTTCTTTTCAGAGGTCTTATTTAGGTTCCTAAAAGCATTGGATGAGAGAGGCGTATTTTCAGACTCCACAGAAGCCAAAGGACGGCAATTTTCTCACTTATATTCCATCTTTTTTATCAGAATCCAGCAGGCAAAAGTGCAAATCCTTCCTGAGCGAGTGCTGCCTTCCACAATGTCAGCGGTGCAGTTGGAGTCTCACAGTAGATGCCACCTTTTTCCTTCTTCCAAGCCGGCAGCATGGCAGGATCAACAAATACATCAATGGCGGCAGAAATATCAAAAGGTCAGAAGCTCATTGTATTTTCTTTTTTCGAAATTTTGGGTATGACATTTCAAAAATCAATATAAATCCCATCTGTATGTCTCTTTTTAAAGGAAGGCATGTGAAACGGGACGGTGCCTGTCAAAGCCCTTGCTGTTACTGCAGATTGTTTGCGTTGCTTATCAGTTCGGCACAGTGGGCAGCTACGCATTTTATACTAGATAAGTCACAGCTGATTCTAATTAACGGCCAGCTACTTTTTTTCAAAGGAGAAGGTCTTTATATAAATATGAGAAGGAAGGAAGGGAGCAACACTAAGTTGAAAGGCAGAAGTGAAAATTGTGGAAATAAACATACTGGGCTTCCTGACTTCATAGCACCATGAAGACAGTATAATCATTGGAGAAATACAGAATTTGCCCTGAGTCTCATCTGTCACATATAGTAAAATCCTTCTTCTAGTTTGAATTCTTAGGAACATAATTAGCACTTTTTTTGAACAAGGGAAATGTTGCAAAATTATGTAAACAATTAGAAAATTGGTGGCAGCATACCCCCCCCCCCCCAATCTAATGTTACTGATGATGTGGATAAATAATATTTAGGGCTGAAGGTTAATAGATTAAAATATCCTGTAAAATGACATACCAGAATGTGAAGAGGAGCATCCCATAAAACAGTTTTTTTTTAATTTCAGGGTAGGGGTTTTTTTTAAATAGTTGTATTTGCACATATGTGCATAATGTGATACTTTGGAAATGGGACCCAAATCTAAACACATGTGTCATTTGAACCTTTTACACATAGCCTGAAGGTAAAAGTAAACCATTAAGAAAGTAAAAATGTCACTATCTCAGCCACCTATGTCAGTAACTTCAGATTTTGAATATTCTGGATTTTTGAATTCTGGATAAAGAATATCTCATATATTAAAGGTTCACAGGACTCCAGTGAATAAATAGTGTTTTTAATTTATTTTTGGATGCTGAATTTCAAAAACATAAGTCTTTTTGTGAGATACTTTGCATCCTAGTCTATGGGAAAAGAGGCATATAATTGAAAGAAATGTATTAATAAATAAATAGTAGTTACTTCTTTTTCACATTTCTTTGTAAAGAAAATTATTTTTGTGTTGCAGCGCAAATTCCACTGTGCTAGTTTGACTTCATGGCCATCTTGGCTGTATTCGTTATATGACGCTGTAAGTATTAACAAGGGTTTGTAATGCTTTTTGTACGTTGTTAGGTTAGATAAGAAATTAGGTTTTAAAGTAAGTGTCTATATGTGTATTTCTGTGATCATGACTCTTACAAATCAGTCTGCATTTTGGAGACAAATAATTCGAATATGCAAAGTTTATGATCACTTATGTGTTCTTCTCTTACAAACATAAACTTACTGTGAACTGATTAGTTGGGATACATATATGTGTGGAGGAGCACACCCAAAAGTGATGCAAGTACCCTGGAAACCATGTCTTGAAAGTACACTGCTACATGTGGACAAGTACGAACATATAGTACCTGTGGTTCCTCTTTCTAATAGAACAGGATTTGGCAAGTGCCATGGACCCAGGGTCCATAGAGGACTGCACCAACTACTTCTATGTATACATGTTTTGTATAAGTCTATAATAATATATAATAATAAAACTTTATTTGTATCCTGTCCCATCTCCCTGCTGGTGGTTCAGGATGGCTCACAACAAAAATGGCAGCAATTTGATATCAGACATACATAATGAATAACCAAGTAATGTAACACAAGTAAACAAGATGAACAAGATCTTAGATCTTGTTAGGGCCAAAAACAGTTTTTTTTAAAAGTCTCCACACCTGCTGAAGCGTTTTTTGGGGGGAAATTGTGAGGAGGTTACATGTGGTTCACCAGTTGCACTTTTTTCTACATCCCTGTTATAGAAGAACTAAGGTGTTTATATCTCCGTCTGATGCATACCAGATGAACAGGTATGCCAGTGACAGGTGGAGGAGTAGCCCATTTGGCCCCATAACTATCTTTTCATGTAATTTTAATATTTGGAGAGAGTCTGAATCATCCTTATTTCTAGGTTGCCCATTAATGAGATAGCATTAACTCATATTTGTGCGCTGTGTAATTGGTATGGGTTTGTTAATTAACCTTTATATTTAATGAAATGTAACTGCTAATGTTGTAGCAAGATATTCATTTTCTTTGTAGAAAAGAATAAGAAATAGAAGTTTTTACATTTTAATTAGGTTTTTCTTCTAACACAAGGAAACCTTGATGGAACGAATCAAGCTGCAACTGCACGAATGGGATGAAAATCTTAAAGATGACTCACTCCCAGCAAATCCTATAGGTATTTTAATAAACATCTATTCCTCAATAGTTTTCCAGCTTGTCTGCTCCTCTATCTCCCTGTTTCTCAGTTAATGCTGGTATATTTTATAGGAGAAGTTGAATTTCTTTGATGTAAAAGTTGTTCAGACCTATGAAACATTCTGGCAGCAAATGGTTTGGAGAACTGTAGATGGCTCATATGTGCATGCTCCTGTATTACATCTGCAACCCTTGATCCCCATACATGCTTTCTCTTCTATACCTCACTTAAAAACACATCATTGCCTTTCCACAATTCGGTATCAGAACCAGCAAACTCTGGTTTGAGTAAATATCTTTGCTATACATAGATTGTCAATCAAGATCATCAATTTAGAGAATTGGAAAATGTGATATCTGAAGATTGCCTTTGTAATATGTCCCTGGGCTCTATTTTCCCGTAAAATTTTGAACTACTGTTTTAAATAGCACTCAGTGTGGTTCAGCATATTACAAGACACTTGAAATGACTAGTACAGGCAGTCCCTGAGTTACAAACTCTGATTTACAAACAACTCATAGTTAAGAACAGGGATGAGACAACAGGATATTAGAGGAATCTACCCCTCAGAGGGGAAATTCACTCCTGAAAGAGTTATCATGGGGAAAAGATGTCTCCACTGAAGCCTTATCTCCAATCCTTGTTTCCCTGACAAGCCACTTTTTTCAAAATCTAATTATCACAGGGACATAAAGTGAGGTGGAATCTTCTGAACAGGGACACAAACAGCAAAACAAACACCAAAGGGCTGTTAACCCGTTTGTATGCTATCCAAAGCTAAAACACAGACACACACACACACATATATGGCTGGAGCTACACTTAAAAACATACCTGTTCCTACTTACAAACAAATCCAACTTAAGAGCAAACCTACAGTACCTATCTTCTTCGTAACTTGGGTACTGCCTGCATATGACAGCATCTCCCTACATTTTTAAAATGTTAAATAAAAGAATATGGATTGTTGCTCTCATGTGGCGTCTCCCCAATACAAGCAGATATCAGATGGAAAATTCCGGTGACTACAAATTATAGTGAAGGAAAAACTAACATCAGGTCCTTTGCTGGTTTTTGCATGATCTTTCTTTCTCCTTGCCCTAATTTCATATTTGGGTAATGTAGCCTGGGATAGATGTCTAAAAATAGCAGTGTTGTCATCTTAACAAAGTTGTAAGATTTTCCTAAAGTGACAGGTAGGAAATCCACAATGGGCAAATGAAGAGCGGGGCCTCCTTCCCTCCCTCCTTTGATAGCCACCGCCTCTATCTTGGTCCTTTCTTGCCTTTTTTGTTTCCTTCCTTTCTTCCTTGTCTCTGTCCCTGTCCCTTTTCAGTGTTAAAATAAAATTCTCCTTCTCAGATTTTTCATACAGGGTTGCTGCTTGTTTGCCCATTGATGATGCACTACGAATTCAACTGCTTAAAATTGGTAGTGCTGTTCAGCGACTGCGATGTGAACTAGATATTATGAACAAAGTGAGTATGCCAAACTTGTCTAAAGCTTGCAATTTGATCATAACTAATGGAGTAAGTTTCATTGAATGCCATGTGTATTTTCTATTGTGCAAAGAGAATTGCTTTTTCTCACTGACATTTCCTTTATTTTTGTTTGCAGTGTACATCCCTCTGCTGTAAGCATTGTCAAGATACCGAAATAACAACTAAAAATGAAATATTCAGGTGAGCTTTTAATGGTTTCATTCTGTTATCTTTTGAGGATAAAAATGGATGTTTGTATGGAATAAAGATGGAAAATAAATGCAATCATATTGTCCATCTTTTTTGTTACTAAGCAACAGTTCTGACAGTTATGCTCTTCAATAAGTTGGATGAAAACTGACATTTTAGCGAGGAGAATGAAACGCGAACAAATTTGTGTGTATTGCGCCTGCGTGTCATGTCTATAAATATATTTTTTATTTCAAAGATATATTTGTGCGTATGTAAACAGACCTATATATAAGCACACAGACATATATTAACTCATTTATTACTGCAGGTGTTTCACACCTATAGTCTCTTAAAATTACTGTTCTACTTTTAGTTGAAGCTTTTTCTGAGGTGTAGTAACAGAAGGCAACTAACCCTGGATATAGCTGTTTAATAGTGTATGGCTGAGAGTTTGTTTGAAATACCAGCTTCTGGTCTCTGATAGTCCAGTCTCCTCTCAGTGTTTACTGTCAGCTCACAGTAGCTGTTCCCAAAGACGACACAGGGCCTCCATCCGTTATCAGCAAAGAACTTTACTACCGGACACATGAACATATAGAAAGCCGAGATTGACCAGCAGTGGCTGGTCACTCCTTATATACACACACACCCACATTTGAAATAACAGTTCCCGCCAAGCCAAAACCCCGTGCAGTATTCCCGCCAACAGCCAATTGTCTCCTTCCAAGGCCGCCAGCTGCAGAGTCCTTATCAGGGTCTGACGTCAGGACCCTAGTTTTCAGTGCCAAAACCAAGGGCCTGGAAACAGGATCCTGACAGTTTACTCCATACCTGGAAGTTCCCATATGTTTCTAAGATTGTCTTACAACCATGATCATATCAAAGTTCTTAGCAGTTCCTGTGTTGTTCATTGAAATTATGGATGTGAGAAATGCACACAGTCTGTTCTTAAGATGTAAACATTTGTGACCCTGTCTTCTTCTTCACGACTTTATCTTCATTCCAGCTTGTCCCTGTGTGGACCTATGGCTGCATATGTTAATCCTCATGGATACGTGCATGAGACGCTTACTGTGTACAAAGCCTGCAACCTCAATCTGAATGGCAGATCATCCACAGAGCACAGCTGGTTTCCTGGGTAAAATCATATATTATCTTCTTAACACATGCCATTTCACATATGAACATATATGCCATACATTGTTAATACCTGTAGTTCAGATATCCACATGTCACTTTGAAAAGTTGCAAAAATCTGTAGGAGTGTCAGAAAGGACTAAGAAGTTCAAGTTAAATCCCCAGGGACCAGGCAGAAGGAAGACATGAACTGCCTAATCAACAAAACATGTATTCCAGATCTATAGGGTGTTTTAAAATGATGGACTCAATTTCAAGGCAAGCAACAAAAAGTTACATATACTCTGCAAATGGATAATATCTCATTAGACCTTATGTTGCAGGGTCACCATCCTGGGAATGACTGAGGCCAGGGGCTGTTCATACACTTAGAAAGGTATCTAGTGGTCACCATTTGAAACTCTGTGCCCTACCCTTTCAAGGGGTAAGATTTTCATTCATGTGCCATCCACATTTGCAAAGGTAGAGCAATTTCAAATCTTGCCCATTGGTTTTGAAACACCCTGTATTTCAAAGCTTTTTTTGATTGAAACTTTTCTTAATCTATGTACCTCATTTTTTAGTACAATCCAAATCCAGTATCTGTGGAAAATGCCCTCCTTCATTCACATATATTACATATTGTCCCTTATCTGAAATGATTAAGATGAGAAAGATTGTTATATTTTTGGAGGGGGGGGGGGTCCTTGAATTTGCATATATGTACATATGGTAAATCATGGAGATAGCGCCCAGGTTTAAACACAAAAATATTTTATTTTTTTAACCTACATAGCCTAAAGGTAATTTCATACAATATTGTTAATAATATTGTGTATGAAACAAACTTTTTGTATACTGAAACATAGGAAAGGAAAAGCACCAGTTTATCTGCCATTTCTGTGGACTATTTATTTATTTATTTATTTATTTATTTACAGTATCTGTATACTGCTTTTCTCACCCCTGGGGGGGGGGGGGACTCAAATCGGTTTACACAAACCATTTTAGTTTTGAAGTATTTTTGGATTTCAGAATTCTGGACAAGGGATCCTCAACCTGTACCTACAGACACACTGGATTATCACTTGCTACATGAAAGCTTTATCCGAATAATCTGTGAACATGATATTAATTTGTATTCTGAAAGCCACTACTATAATATTAATTCTTTCGAGTTTGCAGTCTTGGTGTATTGATTTTTTGAAGAGACATACAAATGAATTCTCTTATTGAAATATTGTCTCTTTTATCTATGAAATCTAGTGGTGTTAAGGGAGCTGTTTAATGCAGTCTTTTAATTTATGTAAACAAGAAATTCATGAAATAATAAGATGGGCATGTCAATCTAATACTAATGTGGTGTTGTCTGCTTCTAGTTATGCATGGACTATAGCCCAGTGTAGAATCTGTGGAAGCCACATGGGATGGAAGTTTACTGCAACCAAGAAAGATATGTCACCTCAAAAATTCTGGGGATTGACGCGTTCTGCTCTGCTGCCAAGGATTCCAGAAAAGGATAATGAATCTGGTCAAGAACGATCCCTATTACTTTGCCTGTGATCTGCTATTTATCCTTACTTGAGATGAACTAGGAACTGTCAGTGTCTCTTAAGAAATCTGTTAAGTGCTGCATCTGATGTCTCATTATATGAAACATTCAGAATATTTGAGCTTTATGCAGAGAAAAGACACAGTTATTTCCAAAGGCCTTGAAATGTTTGATATTTTGAATTGGAACTTTTGGAAGCTGAAGACAGAGACTAGCAAAAAACAGTTGTTTTCAGATGGACTGGCAAAGACTGAATCGGGCAGTGAAGATTACATCTGATGTGATATAATGACAGAAGATGCATATTGTTGTTGAGGACAAAAAAAAACTGTTCAGTAGAAATGAAGACTACGTAATTCACCTTGTGTATAATGATATAATCCATTGCTCACTGTTTTAAGATATTTGCCTGTAGACTGTTGTGACTTTATAGGAGTTTCTGTTTTCTAACTGTATGAAATAGCTTACCGGTATTAGTGTTTGTTGAAACAAGCCTTAAAAGAAGAGGAGGCCTAAACCTTTTATAGGGGCTGATGTGATGGGGGTAAGACTCCATGGTCTTGCTGTGAGAGACAAGCACCGAAGCCTGCTGCTAGAATAATTATTATATGCAATCTCTTTGTGAAGAATCCCTATAGACCTTTGGTCCTTGTTGATCAGTTTCCGCTCCACTTGGCATATTCTGACTTTTGAACAAATGGAAACATAAGTTATTCATAGACATCAACAACGCCCCGGTAAATTATGTGATTTTCTTCATTAATAACCTTGCTACTTTCCTTTTAATCATATTCCAAATCTTTGCACTTAATCTTCTGAAATATTACGTACCATTTGACCTGACTAGACTCCTTGGCAATGCTCAGAATATTTATCGTTAAGAGAGTAGCAACCATCCTGCCGGGTTCTATAATTTCCTGTCCTACATTACAAACTATGGTGCAATTATCACTTGCTCTGTGAACAGAAACTGTTGCTACTTATTAAAGAGGAATGTTTTTGCCTGTGTTCTAGAAAGGGATTGCCAAAAATAGCATAAAAGTATATTTTCCCCCATCCTTGTTTTCCCAGAATGCACTTTGACAAACAAAAATCTGCAAATAGCAGACTTCTTTTACATGTATGGGTATATGTATTTTTCAGAGTCCATTTTTCTCACTCCCCATTTGTTTTGAGTAAATTGTAGAAATCTTGTTATGTGTGGATAGTTACCTTGCTGAAATAAAAAAAATTGCTAAAATGTTTTAGCAATTGTGTAAATACCAGCATATTTACCTACCAAGTAAGAAGTGGCTTTTAAATAACAAGCCCCTGATTTTCAAAACACTGCTGTGGCTTTTGTTGTTTTTCATTTGAAAGCTTTATGCAGACATTAAGTGGCGTTAGATACCGAAGGGGATGTTAGGAACTCTTGATGTGCTAGATAGCCAGGAACAGGTAACCCTGTGAATCAGGTTTAGTTTCTTGAAGACTTCTACCTCTATGGTACTATGTTGTTGATGATGTTTTTTTTTTTAAATTCTCACTCACAATTGGACTATCTCCTTTTTTTTTGTGCTGCCACTTTGTCTCTGCTCAGCTCTGAAAAGCAATACTAGCGGAAACCTCATTTTGAACAAAGTGAGATATAAATCGTTTTATATTAGAGAGCATTTTGGGTTTCTGTTTTTTATTTCCTCAAAAAGTAATTTTTGGTATAAAGTACTGTTGTGAAAGCACAGAATTGGGGCAGTGGGTTGAAATTGTAATAAACTGATTTAAGATAGAACATTCTTTTCCTAACGGAATACAATTTTGTGACCTCACTTTTTCAAGGAGCTGGACTCCTCAGACTGCTGATTTGCTATGAGACAAGATTGCATGAGAAGTTAGTATGTGGGTAGTGAGAAATGAATTTTCGGAATGTGGTATAATGTTATAATATGACTTAATCCATACATGTTAAAGCTGTGTTATTTAAGATCTTATGTGACTTATGTCTCAACTAGCCCCTATGAGTGATGCTATGTCCTCACCTCTAATGATGGAACAGATCAGGCTCTCCTATGTTTTCTTACTCCATTCATTAATAACCTGCCATAGAGAATGAAGCTTTCTCTCTGGCACGATGTCATATGAATGAGAATATCCTTAATTCTTTTGTTTTAAATGCTTAAATATTTAGTCATGCCTTTTATATGTACAGAGCACAATCTGCATGTCAAGACCTATTCCTGACTTCGCAGTTCATTGAGGTGAGAGGAAGAAGCATTAGACACACCCTTCATTAATATCGTCCATGTTTTGTTAACTCCCATTTCGAGTAAATGGAGGTTGTATGACACAGTGCTTGATAAGTTGTTCCCAGGATATTTGGCTAGATTTGTTATGCAGTTGCCTCGGAATAAAATAGATTCAATGACGGTGAGCATGAAACATGTCTATTTTTGTAAGGGTGTAAATGTGTGTAATCAATGCAGGAAGAGCTACAATACAATTAGGTGAGATTTGCAAGAACTAAAGGTTTCATTTGTTGAATCTTGTTTTTCTGTCTATGTAATGAGTTTGAGATTACCAAACTATCTAACTCTTGCACTGTCATTTCAAGTAATTACAAAAAGAAATGTATTCTGTTGTACAAATAGCTATTTTGAGTCGCAGTTAAGAATTCTTTATGTAAAAGTTACGCTTTATGATTCCTGTATAAAGCCGTTGACATTTCTTGGTGTTGATTCACTTTCTCAGCTTATATACTATGAAGTTTTGTTCAAGTATTTGTTTCAGAAGTAAAATACTCAGGAAGTTATGGCAAATGACTTAGGAGTTAACAAAGAATGAAATACAGTTTGCTGCCCTGTATTCTCAGATTTTGGATCTATGAAAATACATAATTAGTCATGTTCCAAAAAAGCAAATGCTATTTTATGTAAGGGGCGGTATTTTTTCATGCCATTTTATACGTATAATGTGACGATCATCCAATGATTCTGGTATCCATGGGGATCCTGGAACCAAACCCCTTGAATACAAGAACCCAATGTACTAGATTCTATGTTTCCATTTAGGTCCCCCCTCCCCCCTCCCGGTGTCACTTCTGGTGTGAGAGAATTGGCCATCTGCAAGGATGTTGCCCAGGGGATGCCTGGATGTTTTAAAGTTTTACCATCCTTGTGGGAGGCTTCTCTCATGTCCCTGTATGGGGAGCTCGTCTGCGCTGTCCCCAGATTCGAACCTCCGACCTGTTGGTCTTCAGTCCACTGCGGCACCCTTCATTTCAAGGTTAAATGTTATAATATTACATTTTATCAGAGGCATTATTTAAAGCTGTCCTAAAGTTAGTAGAAACATGGTTAGGTGATTTTTTTTTATTTCCATGCACAAATGAGCAATATAAAGTGCTTTTCTTTTGTTTGTCACTACAAGTGTGTTTATGTTTGCCAACTAGTTCTAATATCTGTGTGGGGAGGGGGGTCTTTGTTCAGTGCAGTGATTATTTTTATCTGATTGATGTTCAAACTGTTTTGTGTGAGCTGCAATAAGACAGCATGCTGTTCTTGTAATTGCTTCTTTGTTTGCCTTTTTAGGGGACAAGAGAAACCTCAGTGTTCCATTGGGAAATTGTTCATTAAGAATGATACACACATCTATACACAAACTCTTATTTCAAAAACAAGTCTCAGTTTAGGCCAGAAGTCTGGATAAAAGGGAGAAGCAAGATTGTTTCTGACTTGTCTGTCTAATTAATTCATATTTACTTTTTATATCTGTAGAGAAATTATTGGTAGATTTACTCTTTGTGGATAAATTATACAAACTAGGGGAACAACCACTCTTTTTACTTAATTTGTTTTTAGCATATTCTTAATTTTGCTCACTTGACAAGCTATATTTCAGAAGCCCAAACAATACTAGTCTTGCTGTCCTTAATTCTTACTAATATTGGTATTTGGAACTACCATTATGACCTTAAAATTATCACTGCCCTAATAAGAAACCATGGCAGGTAAGTGGATGCTCTTATTCTTTGTTTTTAAAGCATCTGAATCTCTGGATTTGACTATTCAATCTAAAGTAGTGATTAAAACTGCCCGGCTAAGTCCTATTAGTGTGGGACTACTATTATGACCTTGTCTTATATGCAGTCCTGTTAATCCATCATCCATCCAGCATTCTGGAAGAATATCACATTAAAAATATAATTTTTATCATCACGTTTTCTTCCACTTCATTTTTCTGCTTCATTCTTTATTTTGAATACTTCTGTTTTGATTTTCAAAAAAGATTCATTCCCATCTTATTCATGTCACCCACTCATTTTAGATGTTATGAAAATTTTGAAAACAAAGAAAAGTATTGATTTCTTTAAATTTTGGTTCTGTTTTACATCATCATTTTGTTTTTGACAGAGCTAGTTAATAACCACTCATTTGAAATGGCATGCATATAAAATAACAAATATAACTTAATTTGTATATATTTTTAAATATTCAGTAGATCTGTTTCTTTTTATAATGCATCCTTGGAATCTCTGCTGAACATGTCCTGTTCACAATTGAACAAACTTGTTTCAAGTGCATCTTAACCTCGGTCATAAAGTTAACTCTATCTTAAATACACTTCAGGGTGCTTTGAAGATAAACGTGTGCCCTCTTTCCAGTCAATGTTCAGTTTTTTTTAGTGTGTTGAAGTATTTTGTACAGCACCCTTTATAAAGTTTTTAGCAGCATCAGAATAGGAAAAATGGCTGGCAAAAGAATCTTTTAATATTTGGTTGCAATGTGTCTGCAGCAAGCAATGCAATAAAACTTAAGCCGAGAAAATATATATTCATGTTTTGCTGTTTCTGTGTGTTCCTGCCTACAACAAGCAAGGTAAATAGCAGCTGCCTCCAGGATCCCTTAGTGAGCACTCATGAACAGCAAAACTGGGGAAAATCGGTAAGCCTCCCTCTTAAGCATGTAAAAATAGCATAAATCTTTAAGTTTGTTTACTAAAATGGAAATCCTAGGAAAGGTTGGAGGCTGGTAAAAATACCTTCTTTGCGTGCATTTTGGAAGAAACGTTGAAGGAATGCTAGGAGTTTCTAATTATTTTTGCTTACTTATGAAAAATGTACCTGAGATGGTTGTTTAATTTCACACCTGCATTCAATTAGTTTTGAATAAAAACTTCGCTGAAACATGTTGAACTCCTTTTATGCGGTACAGGAACACATCTCTGTTCTTTCCAATTTATTTCTGCTTCTGGTGCCAAATTTTCTGTTACGAAAGTAATGCCCAGGAATACATCTACATTATTAACTCAGGCTTATCCGTATCAGCCTACAATGCCATTACCAAAATATCAAGGTTTGGAATCACTGTCTTTTGCATACAAATCATTGGACACTGTTCGTGTCTTTCAACTTTTGATCTCTAGGTAGATATTTTATTTAAGCCTATGGAAGAGAAGTATAATACCACATTCTCCAATATATTTATTAGAATTTATTTTTGTGTGTTGTGGCATCGAATTGTTGCAGGTTGTAAGCCACCCTGAGTCCCCCCTTGGGGTTGAGAAGGGCGGGGTAGAAATCTTGGAAATAAATAAATAAATAATACCATAACTTTCACTGAGCTTGTTGAGCAAAAGGTCGCAGGTTTGAGTCCAGGGAGTGGCGTGAGCTTCCGCTGTCAGCCCCAGCTTCTGCCAGCCTAGCAGTTCAAAAACATGCAAATGTGAGTAGATCAATAGGTACTGCTCCTTGGAGGTAGCTACGGACAACGCCAGCTTTTCGGCTTAGAAATGGCAATGAGCACCACATCCCAGAGTTGGACACAACTGGACTTAATGTCAGGGGACAACCTTTACCTTTATCATAACTTTTAGGAAGGATCAATCAGAATAGCCAAATCAGCACTAAAGCAATTAAAATACTTTTGGGTGTCTGTTTTATTTGCATAAAAAGTTCAGAGAAAGTAATTTTCAGCTGCAGTTTAAATAAAGATCTGTGATTTTAAATTTCAGGGCAGAACAGATGAGCACTACACTCTGGGATGCTGCAATCCTTGTTGAAGAGATGTTAAATGGTAAAAGAAATACTACCTTATAAAACAATTTGGGAGTTGTACATCCCTGTTCATGATACAAAATTAATTGGAAAGGAGTATCAATTATATAGGAGCTGCTGTAAGCTTTATGTGTTTTCCTCTGATTTATAACCTGCATACACATACAAGGCTGTCTACTTTAAATTGGCTTATTATAACTAACCCTATAAATCTTCACCATAAAGGAAAGGATGACAACAGAGAATAAAAGCAACGTGAAAACATCAACCCAACCCTCCAACTGTCAGTTGTCTTACATGAACAAGTTGGTTTCATAAAAACAAACAAGGGGATATATTCATGTTCAAGGGGAGAGCATTGGTGCACTTTCTGTGATAAGAGACAAGAGATGTCTACTGCCCAAACCATTCTGGTTACCTTGGTAAACTTTTAAACAGTACCATTTAAAATTAGACTGAAGGAACCTGAGGGAATATGCAGGTTGTGTCCAAAGCTATGAAGGCTTTCCGAAATCTGCCTACAATAGCAAGTGCATTATTAAGGGGGTGCAAAGAGTGTGGGCCACACCTGGTGATCATAGAGAAGGTGATACCAACATTGTAGTTTAGGAGAAAATTGGACAAGACAAGTAGCTGAATAATGCTGACCGGCTATCTTTTCTCCCTAAGCTCATTGAATGCTGATGGGGGGGGGGGGGGGCTCTACTTCCCCTCTCTGCTGGATTTCTTTAGAAGGATTCAGCTTGCTCTCCCTTTCCTTTCTTATGTGTGTTCAGCTGGGCTAGCCCCCCCCCCCTCTTTCCCACACATTTATAGAGTCTTTTCCCTTCCTTTCCTTTGACATGCCCCCTTTTTAAACAATAGGTATAAAAAATCCTTCTCAATTTTGCTTTCCAACATGCCATACAACTGATTGCTCACCCAACGGCTAAAATTATTTTTGACCGGCAACAGACACTTGTGCTTTTCCCACTGTATGCAAAAGCACATGGCTTGCTTTGATTTGTGAAGATAAATATGGGCTCAATTTGCAATTTTGATTGCTGAGAGACACATTTCCTGCTGTTGAATGAGCTAATCATACATGTTTGATTTCTGGAGTTTCCCCTGCTCTTTAGCATGCCGGACACAATTTGCTATTGCTCCTGCTGCGATCCCTGGGCAGCATCAGGAATAAGTAACCAAGTACCGAAGCAGGAACAAACACGCATGTGCAATCTCAGGCTACTGGAGGGACGTATTCAGATACTTGAACATTTAAAACTACAATATTGTGGTCTGGTTTAGTACAGGAAGGGGAACGTGTTTGACACCATGAGTCATTATGTTGGGTGACACCAGTCACAGTGACATCCATGAGCCATCCACATCATGGATGAATATGATTTTGCCTACTCTCTGTTCCACACAATGTATCAGCAAGTACATTTTCTTTTGTGAAATTTCAGAAACATTTGGTACTGTCTGTTATTTTCAGAATTTGGGCCTTCCCCACTGCTGCTCTTTCTGATGTGAACATATGCTTCGGGGTGGGGGTCAGTTCTTTGAAGCATGCATTTGGGTGCTTGCACATTCTCATTTAAGCAGGATTCTCTTCTTACCTGAGTGGAAAAGTCTAGTATTATGCAATTCAATCGTTATTGTATCATCACACAACATTAAAACACAAGAT